GGGTGTGTGGTGGGTGGATGTGCGTTTATGTGTTTATGTGTGTTTGTGTGTGTGCTTTCTTGGTGTGTGTGTGTGTGTTTTTTTGTTTGCTTGTGTGCCTGTGGGTGGGTGGGTGGGTGTATAGGCATACTCGTGAATGTGCATGCGACGTGTGCCTTAATGTACGAACGCATAAAATACCATTACATCTTTTGAGTTGTCAACTCACAAGGAGATATACTTGAAATTAATAGCATACAAGTATTTTTCTTTTCCGGCTTTCTATGTTTTCCTTTAGGTACATTTTCATACCTAATGCTTCTACTCAAAGCCAACTACACATACCAATCCCAAACAAGCGCTCGCAAGTTAAAACAATCAACTTACCTGCTAACACATAAGTCCTCGGTGAGTAGTTTTTCAAATTAAGTGTCTCTAATTGCCTCATCATCTCTGCTGTGTGACCCCCTGATCCCAGCACAACAAGCACACTGCATGGTTTAGTTCGCTTAGGTGCTGGTGGTTTTACTGCATACCAAAGCCACGCTAATCGCAACCACACAAAATGCACCAGTGAGTATGCGACAATGATAATTGTGATTGTTCTACCGATGGAAGAATTGTGTTGGAAATCTCCCATAGTATCACCCTCAGCGTCTATCGTAGTTGACATTACTGCTCAAATGTATTCGTTGTATGCTACAGTAGGTCTGATCTATTAGATTCACGTTACATAGTAGCGGTTGATTATATAAAATACTGCTGAATGTAAATATATTGATATAGAATAAATATATTTTTATATTGAACCTCTCTGGGTTCAACTTCAGGGTCTCAGGGAGGTATGTAGGGGCTTGCAATGAAATAAAACTATTAATATTCTCAATTACAGGACCAAATTCTGAAATTTTCCCCACAATTATAAAGTCGCACCTTCTTAAAAGTGAGAGAACCTCAAAAGGGTCGCTATATAAAGGATTTCAACACTACTACTAATGAGCCCACTTCGGTGGTGTCTCATAAACTAAAATGGAAAATATACAGAGAAGATTAGCATGGCCCCTGCACAAGGATGACACGCAAAGACGCGAAGCGACACAATTTTTTTTATTTTGAAGTCTTACACGCTCGATACAGGCATGATGCTTTTTCTATATGCTCAGGTAGGCAGGTACTACATAGTTAACTGATAACAAAGACTAACATGGTCTATTTTAGAACAGCTGACGCAAAAAAAATATCAGGCAACATCAATCATCAATTTTTGAACTAGTAGAAATTGTACCAGAACTTGGTCAAGGTGGTCATATTCGTACACATACACGTGATAGACATGCTGCTGACGCTTACTATGGGTTAGATAATATGTCCTACCGCTTGATGATGTATTAGTTTATATGCTAGATATTCCTGTTATATTAGACCGCCTTTAATATGATATAGAAATGCCCGAATCATCTATACGATAGTCTTCGTGTATTCGAAGATTCATGCATGCTCAGACTATATTATGGTCGTGACTACATAAGTGGGCAAGGGTCTGGGACTGGTGTGTCTACCGGAACGATTTTCACATCCATCCGTAAGACATAGCAGCATATCATGAACTGGGGCTCATAGGAGAATGAATAAATACCCGTCCTGATGTCGAATACTGCCGATGCATGAATGTTCAACCGGTGGCAACCAATTAACTGAAAACTCCCCAATGCACGATACAGACCACGAATTAAATTGAATGTCTGGCATTTATACCAATAAATATAATCTTAGCTAAATGAAAATTCACTCGTGTTGCACGATCATTGTATTTACTGCTGTCGTTGCTGATTGAAGTATGATTGACTGATAATGTAACTATATATAAATGTGTGCATATATATATACTAAAAACCTAACGAATGCTTGTATACAAAAGTTATACTATAACATGCACGA